CCCCCCCCGTTCCAACCTCCTTCTTTCTTTTAAATAATATTATTATTCTCTTTAAGCTGGTGGTTGAAGGTTGTCATTGGTAAGTCCTACTTCTTTTCTTTTCTCTTTTGTCTCTGTTTGTCTTGCTTCTTCCTCGCAATATATAGCTTATTCTGTCGATGTGCTCATCTTTACTCAAACTCAAAAACTCTTGTAACACTTCTAATCTTCAGCACTTATTATATGACCTGACTCTGTTGTTGCAAGTGCCGTGAAACTCTTTCCAATATTCCTATCTGGGTGGAGAGCAGGAAGGAGTACTTGTATATATCTCGCTGGTGTTGGTTCAACTCAAATGATACGCGTTAATAAATCCTCGTTCATGGTACTTGATTCTTGTCAGCCCTCCAGTCAGGATAGGACACATAACGTTACAATGCTGTAAAACCAAGTAGAATCACTCCATTCCTGATTGTTTTAATACGTTTGATTAACTTTTATCAATCTACTTCCTCTGTATTATGCCCACCGTCCATGCAAAGCTGTATCATGCATAGTCTACTGCTTGAGATCGGCTGTCTGTCGAGACGCAAAAGGCCATCATTATCGATAGAATGGGTTGGTGACTAAAAGAACTGTAATAGATCGAATTTGAAAGAAGAAAAAAAAGGCTTTAAAACCTGGTCTTATGTTAGGGGAGAAATGATGTGTTTGTATGGGCATGTTTTTTGTTTTGTTTTTCCTTTCTTCTTTCAAAAATGACTGGGGGGGGGAGAAAATTAAAGCAAGCAAAATACTTATTTGAACACATAAAATCCTGTATCTGTCTCTCCTTAGTGTTGCAGTTTCATGGAACTGGTATTCGGTTACTCGCGTTCACTTCGTCTACGCATGTCAAGTACACATAAAATCATAAGTATGGCAATCAAAAAAGGAGTAAAACGGAGGTGTTTTTACGCCTCCATAGACACATTTGTGAGGCAGCGTGGTGGAATCAGGCTCTCCTCAAAATAATCAAAGTGAAGAAACTTGAATTGTTCCGCAGGTTTGTGAATTTTTATAATTTTTTTTGTTTTTTAGTTCAACACCTTTCATGCCCATTAAAGAACTCATTTCTGAGTGGATTTTTCTTTAAAAAACTTTGATTAAAGGCACAAAAAAGTAATATCAGTTACCACGGACTCTAAAACTAAGAAAATAACTAATCTTTGGCTGCCATTTTCTCAGTAATTTTGCCTCTGAAAACAGGTGACCCCCACCTCCTTCTTTCGCAAATATCTCGATTAGCATTCAGGATAAACTGATATTATTTTCATCTGAATAAAGACAAGTGAACAAGCTTTAAGATGATACCAATAACTCTACTTGCGCAAAAATTGACGAGCGCCTGATTCCACCTCGCTGCCTCAGATTACTCAGGAGGCGGTTTTCGAGCCTGACAGTATGTGTAAGGGCCAACCCAGACTGAGAGGGATACAATGACACAGCAGAAAAACCGAGAACTTCGATGAAAAAATTTCCCCCACACTATCTAGATCTAGATCTAGATCTAACTAGTGTCGTCTGCGTGCTGCAGCGAAAGTCGTAACCGCGACCCCACAGATCTATGTGGGAAAAATGGGACGTAGGCAGAAAGAAAAACAAAACAAAATACTGGCATTGTTGTTATCAATTTTTTTTAGCACAGTGTATTCATATA